GATGCAGGGGCACCGCTAGGAATCTTGGGCCCCATGACAAAAAATTGAATTGGACCCTTCCTGTGCACCTGCTGTTACAGTTTCTTAAGTCTATCTGACCAATCAAAAGCATCACAATTTTAAAGGCTTGCAACTGCCTTCTTTTCTTTGGTCCAATACCGATACTAGCACAATATTCATTACTAGTGAATTTTACATCTAACAGTCCGCAAACAGTATGCAAATAGGTAGCTTAATTTTTTTATTAATAGATTTAATATGTCTCTCCCCACCAGCAAGTCGTAGGCAACATGCAAAATATGCATAAAGCAATAAAGACTTCTCAAAAATGCTATGAAGTTTCATTTTGTTCAAGCAGCAGTATATAACTTTAATTAAAAAATATGTTTCTCCATATTTGTTAAAGCTGTCACCATGTTGTGTAGGACTGTCTGGACTGACAGGAGGCCATTTTTTTATGATCTTTTTATAAAGATTGTTTGAATTTCTGTCAGTATTAAATATTGTTTGTTGTGTAATTCTAAAAAGAGCAGAGAGACAGGAAAAATCTCTATGGATTCCCTGTAATTCCCTGAACACAGTGTTGCTCACCTTTATCACTGGGACGGGAAGATTAGGCTGGTATGGTGGCTAGAGCTGCTGCTGACTGACTCATCTGTTGTTAAGTGTGATAAAAGGTACAGGGGCAAGTTAAATATATGAATATGTTGGTAGATTTGTTCCTTCATTCTTTAAAAGAAATGGAGGCAAACAGTCTGTAGCTAAGCTAACTGTGCTAAATGGTTGATAATCGACAGTCTACCTGTCATGTTGGGTTCCCACATGTTTACCCACATGCAAGAGCACACTAAGAGAAGCTATATGAAAAACAACAATGTTTAAGGGAAAGGGGAGGTGGAGATCAGGGAGAACAGTCCTGGATTCTGGAAGGGGGAACCTGTCGAACTGTTAATGAGAGGGAAGGTGTGAATACTGGACAGATCCAAGGAAATATTTCAGAGATTTTTCTCGGAGGGTTCTTACTTGAAGGCGGAGTGAGATTCTCTGTGGCGGCAGCCGGAGAAGCGGGTTTCCGTTGGAGAGCGAGCAGATAAGTTTTGTGAATGGATGAAAGGAGCGAGCTGACATCAGAGCGGGGTCCAGATGGCTAGCTCCCGGATCTTCTACTGCCAGCAGGCACAACCTGAGGCGAAACAAAGGGAATCCACGGAAAGGACCAGGGAGGCGAGTGCACGAGGATGGCAACCAATTGGTAACACCAATGGCGTCATGAGGAAACACAGGGGAATTTCCAGACGGGAACAAACGTCCACCACAAGGAGTCTCAGGGGAACAACGAGGAAACCTGATGGAGAAAACACAAGGAGCGATCAAAGCGAGTTCATACATAGAAGGCTTTCACAAGTGAAATGTTTACCAGTTGAGGCAAACACTCAGGCACTGGAGTATCAGCCAGTCGTTCCTTATGAAGCACCTCAGCAGCTCTCGTAGATTAGACACAGGTGTGTCTATAGGTTGGCTGCCGCACTTCTCCAGGGGCTCCGCCCAGTGGTGGCATCTGGCGGCTATTGAGGGGAAGTAGCAGCTTCCCAGGAAACCAGAGCAGAACACAAAGAGAAAAAGAAGAAAAACCAAAACAGAAAACAACTCCAACCTAACAGTACCCACCTCTTGGAGAAGAACTGGGTTGTAAATTGAGAATAGAGAACATTCCTTTTCTCTCTATCTCTCCATTTTTTTTAAAACCTCACTTTATTATTTTTCTTGGCGGCATAGCAGGGTTGCCACCTTTCAGAAATCTAAATAAGGGGCGCCCACTACGGCGCACGTCACCCGACTCTCTCAGGGTGGGATGGTCGCTGCAGTGATATTTAATATTTTATGGCGGTGTTTTTTGTCTTTAAAAAATTATCCATAGAACAACCGTTCATACATAGAGGTCGGTTCGAGTACCCCAAAACTGTACTCCAATCAGAGTAGTATACTTTAAATACGTTTAATTAAGCAAGTGTAAAAAGTATTTGGTAAACCACTGAGTAACTGCATAATACCTGATTTAATATTCAAAATGTGTCCTCAAACAACTAAAAGCATAAAAGTTAAGTGAACATTCTGATATTTTACAGAGTATTACCAAAATATTTCTATAAATAAGGAGTTAGGTTTGGAGGCTAGTTCTAGACCAGATTTACCACAGGGCCCAGGATAGTCAGTGTTTTTCCATGGCAACACTTGAAAAAAGAATGAAACAAACAAACAAAAACAGAGCAATATTTGATCATTTGATATATTAAATGTGCCAAAGAGCCACATCTGTCTCCAGAGATTCAGGTTGCAGATGGAAAGTGTGATCCTATCTCAACATAGCAGCTAAAACTGCAGCACTATAATTTTTAATTCATTGTTAATGTAAAATTGTGAAGGTTAAAAAAATCCACCACTGAGTATTAACATAAGAGATTTATTTAGTATAACTTCTTTGGTACCCTGTTGGCCCCCATCTAGAACTGCCCCTGGGCTGCAGGTCTGTGTCTGGTGCATTAATGACCACTGAACAATGAATTCATAAAATATTAACATTTAAAAATAAAACATACAGAAAACCCTAACAAACCTTTTAAAGTAGGAAGTATTTATGCATTTACTGTTGATCTAATGTATGATTTGTTCTTTAAATGATCATTTGTATTATTTTGGCTGATATTATATATTAAATAAGCAAATAATCAAACCAATATAGTCTACTAAAAGCACAATCAGAAACTTAATCACAGCAAAATGATACCATATCAGGGTCTGCTGTGTTCCTCTCCTGATCTATTCTGCCTGGTATCTTACCGCACGATGGACACTTTCTTTTTTTAAATTGCCTGTGTTCATCCTCACTAACATTATTCAGCCTGGGATTTGTGTCTTCCTTCTCACGTCTGTATCTTTATGAGAGGTTTTACTTCTAAGAACAGTGG